ACTCCAGGTAAGTTGTCAAACTGTTCTTAAACGGTTTGACTACTTACTCTGGGAGGGGGTGCCGACACTCCTGGCACTATAACCACTACACAGAGGAGTAGTGGTTATTGTGCATGGAATATTTATTTAAATAATCTACAAGTGCCCCTCCCGGGCTCAGGCTCTGGATCCGTCACTGGTATATGACATGTATATTAATGTGTATATTTGTTATATATATATATATATATATATATCTATTATATTTACACATATTAATGTACATTTATATATGCATAATACACAGAGAAATTTCATTAATATGTACCATATGTAATGAGCAGATATTGGCCCAATCTTGTTGCTAGGTGCATACTCAAGCACAATAACATATTTAAAGTGAAGAGCACACCCACAGTACTTCAAAATAAACATTTTTTACAGTTGTGCCCTACATACATTCACCATTTCAGTCCCATTAACAAGCTTTCCTTAATATGTCAAGGTAGTTGGACTGAAACATTGATTACATGCAAAGGCTCGTCTGCTTAAAATAAATCTGCACTTTTGTTTATTTTGAAGCCTATGAGTGCGTTTTTTACGTTGAAGTACTTTTTAATTTTAAGTTATCTGTTCTAACTCTGTATCTGCACACTATGCTGGCGTGATGCATTATGGGGCTGGTAAATATATTTTTTCCAGGGCTGCTTTTAATTCCCAGTCCGGCCCTGCACTAAAGTAGCAGTAGGTAATTAGGAAAACTTGATAAGACGTATTCTCTTCAATGGGAGTGGATACGTCTCATGGTGTTAGTTCGTATATATGAAACAGAGAAGAGGCAGAAAGCAACCAATAGTGCAGTACGTCTAGAGTCCAAAGGTGCAGTAAGTAACAAGAGGTAGAGAACTCACATTTAAAAGAGCTATGGCCAGCTCTGGTGTGAAGAGCATACAGCTGTATAACCCCTGCTTATGGGATGTGGGAAGATGTATCCGTCAGCACCGTCTGGTTATCCAAAGCTCCAAAGGGAAGATAAAAGGCAACAATAGTGCTCTCAATTGTGATAAAATAGAGTATAAAAGAATGATAAGAGTAATACTCACAAGTGTAGAGCAGAAACACGGCTCTATTGATATAGCGTTGGTGGTACGATCCCCAGCTCGGAAAATATATTATCAAATATATTTTAAAATGGTAAATAAAATTTAAAGGAAATTGGCACAAACCAGATCTATTTGTCCAAAAAAATTCCTTTATTCAATAGTAAAAGTAAATATAAAACATCCAAATACGCGTTTCTCCGATGTGGCTTTATCCCATTTTGAGAAAGCCACATCGGCGAAACGCGTATGGATGTTTTATATTTACTTTTACTATTGAATAAAGGAATTTTTTGTGTTGTATTTGATCCATTGAAGGACTTGAGGGGTTTCCTTCGCTTGGGTTGCTGCCCATTCAGCATATATTGTGTTGTTTAGCGCTGAATTCCTGCTGTATTCTGCATGTTCAGTAATTGCCTACATTTTTATTCAATATTGATGAGATTATTCATTGGAATAGGATCTGTGCCGACTCCCTCATTACTATGTTCGTGTCTTGTGGCGCATCATATAAAGTGGTCATTGAATGTATTAGCGGTTTGCACTTTGTGAGTTGAGATGGATTTTAGATCTTTTTAATAAAATAGCTGAGTACGGCCCAAATGAGATGAATTATTGTTTATTTTGTCTGTAAACAGGGCCGGACTGGCCATCGGGCAAATGCCCGGTGGGCCGCGATGGCCATGGGCCGAGGCTGATCAAAGGATCTCCCTGGCCGACCTCTTTAGGGCTGGTGCTGCCTCGCCTCTGGTCCATAGAGGGAGCTCTGTGCAGTGGGGAGATCAAATATCTCTCTCACCAGTCTGCATACTGATGCACAGTGCAGGCCCTGTGCACATGGTCTATACCTGTCAAGGGGTGTAGACCAGATGCTTCTTCCACTGGACCACAAGGGAAAATAATTCCTCCCCAGCATCCTCTCCTGCCAATGATCAAGATAAGGAAGAGGGAGTATGTAAGTTTTATTTATTTTTACCGCCCCATGTTCCCCTTTCTCACCCAGCAATCCCTGCCCCTCCCTCTTTTACCCCCTGCTCCCCTATCATCCAGAAGCCCCAAGTTCCTACTCACACCCTGCAGCCCCTGTCTTCCCCTCTCACCCTGCAGCCCCTGTCCCCCTCTCATACTCTGCATCCCCTGTCTCCCCCTCCCACCCAACGCACATACTGACACACATGCATATACACAGACACACATACCAAGAGATACACATACAGACACAGAGATACACATACAGACACACTAACACACATGCAGGTACACAGACACACTTAATGCCAAACATTCAGATACACTGGATGACACTCATATAGATCCAAACATTGACACACACAGATACATGGGGGTCACACATACTGACACACATACAGACACACGTACAGACAGATATGCATACAGACTGAGACACAGATGCATATCCACATACAGACAGATACACTGATAGAAACACACACAAATATGCATACAGACAGAGACACAGACAGACACACAGATACACATGTAAACCGATACACACAGATACAGACACACATGCACATACACATACAGACACACAGATACACATATTGACAGATATACACACATACAGATACACATACAGACAGATATACACACAGATACACAGACACACATGCATATACACATACAGACACACAGTTACACATATAGACAGACACACACACAGAAACACACATACAGACACACACACAGAAACACATACAGTCAAATACACACACAGACTGATACACATGCAGACAGATTAAACACACAAACAGACATACATGGAAAATATCCAATTTCAGCCACCCTCCTGTTTCCTACCTTTTGGGTGCAGGAGGGTGACTTTCCTGGGGTACAGTGGCTGTCTGTGGCTGTTGGGAGTTGGGCTCTCTCACAGTCTGCGCTCCTCCTCTCTTTCTCCATCCCGCACAAAACTCTGTGTTAGCTAGGAGGAAGTGACTGCACTTCCTCCTAGCGCTGACCTCATCACAGGGGGCATGGTCACGCTGTTAAAGCACCGCAGCGCTGACTGGGCTCTTGCAGACTCATTGCCATCGGGTGACCTGACGGGCCCCCTCATCATGCGGCCCATGGTAGTAGTAGTACCACGCGGGTCGCACGCACCACAGCGGCTGGCGGGCTTAAGGGGCAGCTGCTTTGGGCCCCCTAGGAATGACTGGACCCGGGGCAGCTGCCCCTTTTGCCCTGCGTTAAAGACGGCCCTGACTGCAGCCCCTGTCTCCCCCTCTCACCCAGCAGCCCAATGTCCCCTCTCACACCCAGCCCTTCCTCTCACCCAGCAACCTCTCTCATACCCTATATCCCCGTCTTCACCTCTCACCCAGCAGCCCATGTATCCCCACCCGCAGCCACTGTCCCCACCTCTCACCCAGCAGCCACTGCCTCCCCCCTTACCAGCAGCCCCTACCCCCTCTCACCCAGCAGCCCAATGATCCGCCTCTCACCCAGCAGCCCCTACCCCCCTCTCACACAGCAGCTCCATGTCCTGTCTCACACCATGCAGCTCCATGTCCTGTCTCACACCATGCAGCCCCATGTCCCCTCTCACACCATGCAGTCCCATGTCCATTCTCACACCATGCAGCCCCATGTCCCCTCTCACACCATGCAGCCCCATGTCCCATCTCACACCATGCAGCCCCATATCCCCTCTCACAGCATGCAGCCCCATGTCCCATCTCACACCATGCAGCCCCATGTCCCCCTCTTACACCATGCAGCCCCATGTCCCCATCTCACACCATGCAGCCCCATATCCCCTCTCACACCATGCAGCTCCATGTCCATTCTCACACTGTGCAGCTCCATTTCCCCCTTCCACACTCTAAATCTTTTATTCCACCCACACAATATCCCCTATTGTCTCCCCCTCACACACACACATCGCCTATCAGCCCCACGCTACACTTGGACTGCCCTGAGGGCTATTAAACAAATGTGCCCACTTTGGAGAGGCATGAATGTCATTGGTGATGACACAACATGTACCCTCTTTGGCCGCACCCTTCAGAGGGCTGCTCTGCCTTTAAATGCCCTGGCTGAATTTTTGACCCAGTCAGGCCCTGTCTGTAAATATTTTCTTTACGCAGTTATTGAGCTGTTTGTTAGTGGTGAGATCATACTGACATCACGACATCCCTTCAACTATGTCGCTCAAAGTGGTGGAAACGTCCATGGTGGGTGCAGGTATTCTTGTTTGAACTATGGAATAAATTTCTGGCATTAACC